TTCTTAACCCCTAACTTCCCGCCCCCAGATTAACAAAGGCCTAAATCACCCCCATGCCACCCTGTCAGGCAGCCTGAGAACTATGCGATCACCCCACTATTTTTAGTACCATGTTTTACCGTTTATATGTAATTAACCCTGCCCTAGAGCCATGAAATACCCCAGCCTTCACTGCTGCTGGAGATGTGGGCTTTGATCACACTGTGCATCTCATTAGTATTACAACTTGCAGCTGTTAATCCCTCTAACCCAGAATTTCCCACCCTGGTGCTCAGGGACCCATAGATGCTCCACGCATCCTCCCCCCCACCCCACGCACGTGCAAGCACACACACACACACACATACACACACACACACACAGTTAACAGGGCTCTGGTACTCACTGCCCATGTGTACAGCTCCTTCTCCACGGTAACCACGGCAAAGTGGGTCTCCCCTGCGCACACCTGCTGGGCACTACTGCCCCCCTTGAAAGCATCCAGCTTCTGGGGGGTGAACTTCCCCCCACCCCAGAAGTACACCTCCCGGGATCGTGTGGTCACAACAGCCACCGGACTCTCGGTCACCGTGCTCAACCTTAAACAAAATCCACCACTCGCTTAGGAGAGAAGTGCCAAAATAAACGCTGCTAAATGTTAGCTATTTTGATATACAGAACTGATCAAACCTTATTAATACAGGTGTATTTGTCTTGCATATTTTACAGATTTACAGGCAATGAGCTACAAAACTTGCTCAGTAAAATTCAGGGGACCGTAAAGGAAAGGGGCAAACCTGGGCTTCTTGTTGGCAGAATTCAGCAGTGCCACCTTCTCCTCGAGCTCCCTGAAAGCAGAAAGGAGGAATCTTCAGCGTTAGCTGAAACGCAAGCGAGACTTCAGCTCTCTGAGACCATTATTATTTTTCAGGCTCTCCGGGCCTCGAATGGACGGCTGGCCGGCCCCGTTCCCCAGACTCACTGCTTCCGGCTGGAGATAATGGGCCAGTCGAGAATCTGGTCAGCGGTCGGCCTGTTCTCCGGGTCCTGAGACGCAGAACCAAATGAATAAATCTGCACCCGCCCAGCCCACAGCAGCCCTGAGCCCAGCCCTGGCCGCCCACCTGATCCAGACATTCGTACACCAGCTGGATGAGCTCGGAGGAGTACACATCCGAGTTCACCTCCTTCGTCCAGTTCCCCTGGACGATCTTCACACATAAGTTCAGCGGGTTCTGGAACAGCAGAGGGCACGGACGCCGTTAGCGTGGGCCCAATCCGCAAGGAGAGTGAATGCGGGGGAGGTCAACGCCGGCAGATCTCGCCCCTACCGTGGCCTCGAAGGTCCTGGTGAGGGTGAGCAGCTCGAAGAGGACACAGCCCATAGCCCAGATGTCAGACTTGAAGTTGTACTTCACACCCTGGCACAGTTCTGGGGACATGTAGTACGGCGTTCCCACGCACTGGGGTCAGGGAACACAGCAGCATTAGCACCTATACCAGGAGCATCACACAGGATGTGCTACATACCACACAGCAGCATTAGCACCTATACCAGGAGCATCACCCAGGATGTGCTACATACCACACAGCAGTGCACTCAAGTTTAGGTGCCGTGTTTAAGGGTGTCCACAGCAATTGCAGTCAACGTCAGTGTTTAATACAATGGAAAGATGTGAGGCCTTAAACACAGACAGTGGCCACAAGACACCACAAACCCTGATCGGGCTAATTTATTTATTAAAAATTACCACCCCCACCCCCCAAATTGATATTGAAGAAAGTTGTGAAAAACAACCATTTAAAATCACTACCGATCGCAATCGACTAACCAGTACAATTTGACACCTTGCTCAGTTATTAAAAAAATTCCTATCATCACTTAAAAAGATCATTTCAAAAGTTAAATCAGCTTCTGTCACAGCGGCATTTCCCGTGAATTCCTGCATGACGCAAATTACTGATATTACCCACCCAGCCTCCTATCAAGGATATGAAACTGGGCTGTGACTCACAGGGTTAACAACAGAGAGGGCTGCAGCAATTTTATATACAAGCAGAAAGGACTGTGTTCTTACACACACACATGCTTATGTCTGGCTATATATGGAAAGGCCTCCGCTGTCCAGCTGTCAGGACAGGCTAGAGCAGGGCAGGCAGAAAATTCGGCTTGGTCAAGGACAATAGATACTCAAACATCTGCAGTCAGAACTCGAGATTCCTCCATCTGCCGGAAGGAACACCGGCCAAAAAGGCAGCGCTGACCCAGGACCAGAACATCAAGTCCTGACCTTCTGATTCAGGAGCGCCACCATTTCTGCTCACCAGAAAAACATGGGAGCCATTAAGGAGGCAGCATGTGACCTCTGTGGACCAGTGGGGTGCAGTTTTAAGACCACAGAGCCCTCTTCCTCCAGCAAACCCTGCAGTAATATCGTAAACACACAGAAAAGGCACTATATACTCACCGTCTCAGCCATGGAGAACTGAGAGTGCAGCTTTTTGGCAAGACCATAATCGCCCAGTTTGATCAGGTTCGTTTTGGTGAGGAAAATATTCAACGTCTTAATATCCCTGCAACAAACAACATGCTCGCTGCACGTCAAGTCACATGACATGACCCCTCGGGCTGGTTTTAGATTCCCTTAGCTAGTTTATTTTCCCCATAACTATAAACCACACGGTCGACTAACTTACCGGTGAAGGACCCCTGCTTTGTGAATGTGAGCCACTGCTGAAGCAATCTGGTACAAATACCAGATGACAACCTGCAAAGCATCATAAAGAGAGAGGATTTACAAGCACATAAGGATAGAAAAATCCACAGTAAGAGATTCAAAATTATTTCCTGCTCGCTAAGATAAAATTAACAACAAAGTCTTACATAAAAGTAAAACAGGATGTGTTTGGGAAAGAGTTGAATCTAACAGTAGATGGGTGAACATGCTTAATACTGATTATGCACAAGAACTTCAGTAACTTTTCACTTTTTTTTTTTACTTGGTTTTATGTTAGCATCTTTTTAATTAGCAGATGCTTTTGTCCACAATGACACAGAAGTCAGGTGGATAGTGCCTCACAGGCATACAGCTACCAAGGAGCCAGTTAAGGTACAGTGCTGCTACAATGAGCTTTGTGTTAGTGACCGGTAACACATGTGAGGCAGCACTGGAGCCAGAGCGGTCATTAGAACCTGACATCTGAAAAGCTAGTCAGATCAGAACACCATGAGGACTGGGTTCCTACTACATGAGGGTGAAATGCAAGTGAGCATCCAGTGTTGCTGAGAGACCATAAGACAGAAGAGTAAGTGAAAACAGCAGGTCAGTTAGGGGGAAGAACATCAGCCATTACCTCCTCTGTAAAGAGCTGTCCTTTTTGCTGGTTGATTTTGTCATAAAGATTTCCTCCTGAAATAAAAAAAAAAAAAATCATCATACATAACATTTCATAAGACTCTGCAGAGGTTAACGGTTGGGAAAGTCTGTGAGCCTGGCACCCGGGGCGGAAATTGAGGACTAACTTGATGAAGAGGTCAACAGGAAGCGGAGTGACTCATCCTATCGTGTTATTCCTCCTTACAGAGAAGAAGCAGCATGACACAGCAGCTTCTGAATGCTACCGTTTAGCTCCAACGCTCTAGTCAGTGTTTCCCAACCCGACCATCAGGGACAGACAATGTACATTTTTGCTCCCTCCCAGCTCTCTGCCAGACAGTCCACATTTTTGTTCCCTCCCAGCTCCCTTCCAGACAGTCCGCATTTTTGTTCCCTCCCAGCTCCCTTCCAGACAGTCCGCATTCTTCCACCTTCCCAACTCCCTGTCATAAAGTCCACATTTTTGCTCCCTCCCAGCTCCCTTCCAGACAGTCCGCATTTTTGTTCCCTCCCAGCTCCCTTCCAGACAGTCCGCATTCTTCCACCTTCCCAACTCCCTGCCAGACAGTCCGCATTTTTGCTCCCACCCAGCTCCCTGCCAGGAGCAAAAATGTGGACCTCTGGGGACCCCTAAGGACCAGGTTGGGAAACGCTGCTCTAATTGCATTTTAACAGAGGTGGCCAATCTTACCCGCAAAGGGCCGGTGTGTATGCAGGTTTTTGGAGTAACCTTTAGGTCAGCTGTTCAAACCCAGGTGTGAGAACTAATTAGGGAGCTGCAGTGAAAACCTGCACAAACAATGGCCCTTTCTGGATAAGATTGGATACACTGGATTTCTGGATTGCCTACACTGTCAGAAAAAAGAAAAAGAAAGAAAGAAAAAAAGGAGTACCAATTTGCATGTTCTTGTCACTGGGTCTGCTATTTGTATCCTATAACTGTAGGTAATTGTACCTTTTAAGGAACAGAAATGTACTATGAGGAACATTTTTGTACCATTGGGGGTACATTAATGTTGTTTGTACCTTGGGGATGTTCCTCAGAGTCCAATTCTGTACCTTAAATTAGACTAAAAGGTACATTTACCTATAGCTATAGCTATAGGGCACAACTAGTAGTCCCTTGAGGGTACAGCCCCAGTGACAAGCAAAGGTACAAACCAATATCTTTTTTCTGACAATTTTTGAATGCAGAGGTACACTAAGAGGTGGATTCCACCTTCCCACCATGTTTTACCGACTGGCAAAAAAAACAATGTTCCCGGCTTCACTTATTACAACAGGAGGTCTAGTGAGGAATAAGGTTACTGGGTCCATCTCACCATTGCAGTACTCCAGCTCAATGAGCAGGGTGTTCTTGTCCATGAAGTGGTTAAAGTAGGCTATGATGTTGTTGTGCTGCAGAATGGACAGGATGCTGATCTCGTTCATCACGTCCCTGCGCTCCTTGTCTGAGAGGCAGTTCAAGTCTACCTCCTTCCACACCACCAGCGAGTTATCCTGCATGGTGGAGAGGAATCAACATGGCCGCCAACCAGAGCCAACCAAAGGCCACTCCAATAGCCCATACGATGAAGTCCATTCCTTATCTCTCATTCCCCACTGGTCCCATGTAACCAGCCAAATGATACTAACAGAGAAATTAAAAACACCTTATAAACATCTTACACTTGATACAAATAACACATAACTTGGGCACATTTTAAATAAATAACTACATTAATTATCCATCTGTCTGCAAGACAGCTGACCAGGTCCCCATCCACAAAGAATATTTTAAATGTTGTACAATCATACACACACACTATACATATATCACAAATTCACTAAACATAAAGATGGAAATGAAGAGAATATCAGACAAATCGCTGGATATCTCCCCGATTTTTAAACATACATCTGACCAAAGCAGCGTTACTTAACTTGTAGCATATTAGCTGTACTAACATGCTCTTATTTATTATTTATTTCATGGGTTGGGGGTGGGGGCGTCATGTATTTTTGTAATGCATCTGGACAGCAATAATTCCGTCCTGGGGCTCAACAGAGTTCGCTCTTATCCATCTTCTGTTTATAAGGACCTCACTTTACAGTATATTACATTTTTAACAAGTTCACAAAAAATTATTATCCGAATTGATTACAGGGTTTCTAATCGATGACAAGCGCGCTGCTTTTTCTGAGCACCACTGGGTTTGACGTCCCATAGAAAATTCCGTCCACGCAAACACTTCATCTGAAGGTTTGCCATGAACTGGGGAGGTAAAGAGCCACTTGCTTACTTACTGGGGATTGTTTACTTAAAAGGTAAGAGGGGCAAATATTAAATTCCTCCCCTCGGATGGACTCAATATTTTCTAATTAAAAAGATCATGCAGAGTAAGTTGTTAACCCTGTGTAGTAACTAAGACTATCAGTTTGTACAAAAGTGTGTAGTTTAAATCATATCAAAAAGCATGCATGCATTATATCTATTTGCAGTTTCTTAACAAAAAAACCTGGACCTCATACGCAAGGCCCTGGATGGGCCAATGCATCCTACCTCACTCCGTCTGTAGAGGGTGGCCTCCCCGAAAGCGCCCCTTCCCAGGATCCGTATGGGGATGTAATGCAGGGTCTCCTCCTCTCCGCTGTACGCCGCCGGCGCGGATCTGCCGTCGCTCTCCAGGGGCTCGCTGCCGAATTCGGAGTTCAGCGAGCCGTAGTGCCGCTCGTAGTCCTCTAAAGACATCGCGCGTCTCCCCCCTAAACAGCTTACTTAAGCGGCTGATTCAATCCAGAGAACCTCCCGATAACTTGTTTCGACCCAGCGGAGGTCTGGGATCGCAGCAGGCGGTGGATCCCCGGCTAGCTGCTAGCAGTGCCTATTTGCGAGACCTTTGTCTTGAAGTTTATTATAAGCAGACCCGCGCTCCTCTCGTTTATGTCCGTGCGATCGCCTGGGCATTAACACCACCGGCTGGATAGGACAGCCGCAGCTCCCAATGCACTTAGAGATATTTATTTTTGCTATGCCGTTACCCCGCCTCGTCGATCGACAGCCTTTAGATATGATTTTTACGCCTGCCAAGCTGCACGGCGATAATAAAGTGAACCAAGATTCTGCGTGCGCTTCTGGACAAAAACTTTTGCAGCTTCCCCCCACCCCACGCAGTCGGAGCAAATTAAGACGCTACGCAGCACTCGGTCTGATCCGTCGTTAAACTTGTCACTGAGTCTAACTCATCTGAAGTTAAGCGTGAAACAGACTAAATCCCCGAGTGTCAGCGCGCTGTTAAAGACTCCATCTTTACCCTGCGCAGGACCCGGAAACACTTCGCTATTTGCGGTATTCCTAAGGTTCAAGAGCAGTGTCCCGCTCGCGAAACTGTGCCTTGTCTAGGGGAAAGCCTTCTTGTGCAACTCAATATCCGATCTAGATTACAGATGGAAAATCAACTAATCCACTGGGAACAGATATATATGCAAAACAAGCAGTATTTTATTATGCAATATGGCAAAGAATAATTCGTGTGTGCCTGATTGCCACATGAGCACTGTAGGCAGGTTGTTTGAAGCAATTTCGTCGTCTTGCTCATCTGTCAACATAAACTGGCAAAGAGGAAGCATCGGATATTACGAACTCCACAGGAAACGTGTACTGTTGACATGGCGTCAAAAGTTGTGATATTCAACAAGTGAGCTCTTGCGTTTCTGATAGCGTAAAATTGCAGTAATAGCAACTCCTAGTGGATCTTGATATTAATGCATCTGAACAGTAATGAACCTGCACTAAGCCTCCGATAGGCGGTGCAATAATTTCAAGGCGATATGTATACTTTCTCAAAAGTAATAACAGAAAGTGAAAATATTGTACTTGCTATGCTTTTATAACAATAAAAATATTATAAAAACGCATAGGAAAAATATAATTAAAAGGACAAGGTTCCACCATATTGCTCAGGCTGTACTACAGTGTCTATTCACGGGCGCGATCCCGCTACTGAGCGGCACGGGGGCTTTGACCTGCTCCGTTGCCGACCTGGGTCGGTTCACCCCTCCTTAGACGACCTGGTGGTCCCGGGCTCCCCCAGGAGCACCATATCAATACCGAACTTAGCGAGGACACCCGATCGCCATAGTCCGCTGCAGCCCAGAACCCCTGAGCTCAAGTGGTCCACCAGCCTCAGCCTCCCAGTAGCTTGGATTACAGGCGCACGCCACCGCGCCCGGCGATGCAATGATGGAGTTTCCAATAGATCAAGCATAAATACCGGTTCCGTAAGTCCAGGTTTCGGTTTCAAGTATGAGACTGCTTTCCTGTTTTAAGTGCCAATGGTTACGTTTGCTCTTCGTGATATGAATTAATTTCGGGATATTAATTAAAGCAGGTCGGAAAGTGAAATACAATGAACCACGTTTTATGAGTTCTGGCCATATGCATTTTGGTTAAAGTGTTTGACTTTTATTAATTCTAGTGTCAGTCTTAGCACATATTTACATTATTTATTTAGTTTGTGAATATTATCTATTACACCATACAGGTTTTTTTATATTATTATTCATTAATGTATTTTATCCAAATATTTAGTGTTAATCATGTTAATTGTTCATTGAAAAAATGTAGTTTTAACTTTGATTATGAAACTCTTTGCATAATTTTACTTAATTTTGGCTAGAACAGAAATGGCCTCTCTGTGTCTCTAAAATGCAACATGTAGTACATTTGTTAAGTAACAGAATAATGTTTGAAACACCTGGGAAAATATTTTACCAAAAAAAAATCATCATACGAGTAGAAAGTACCCTCCAAAATACGTAAAGGATCACATAATTCATTGCCAATTAGTGCTTCTGAGATTCATTTATTGGTATCTTGAGATAATTTAACAAAGTCTACAGGTTACATATTCTACAGATTCTGATTAACTGATTAATTGCGCAACTGAGAATGCACTCAATGCATCTGTCTGTCAAAATATTCCAAAAATAAACAGCAGGGGCCAAAGTCGACAACAGGAACTTTCCCCTCACTTCACATAGACTCACACAGAAGGAGGAAGCTGGAAGCTCTCTCACATGCGACTATGATGGTCTCCAAAGATGGAATGTACTCCATGCTGATTGGACAGAATGAGCTGGAGACAGACGCACAGAGTGCTGACTACAAACCCAACAGCCAGCGGGACTGTAAGACTCCTCAGCTTTAAATATCTGCCTGTAGTTGGGTTTCCTCTTCCAGCCACATGTTTACATTATGAATGAGCAAAGACATTAAAATGGCAGATACTCCTGTACCTAGTTACAAATTATATGTAAGGGTTAGCATTGATTAGAAGCTTTTGTTTTTATTTTATTTCATATTAATTTTGTGTGTATTGTTTCCTCTATTTCCTCTATCTACTGATAATACATATGTACTGTTAGTTCAATGTGATACTTCTTTCATAGTTTTCATAGTTGCTGTGCGTGTTTTCAGAAAATGGACTTTGAGTCCACCCAGTGTTGTTTTAGGAAAAGAACAGTGAGACTCGATGCCTGCACAAGATAAGTAATGTTTGAGCCGAGGAAAAAATAGCAAAATGAAAGCATTTATACTCTGTTTATTTTGATGATTATTATTGTTCAGTTACCATCTGTTAAAATTCTTGTCAGAATGGAAATTCTGGTGAAATGACATTGTTGTTGGTAAACTTTGTTCAACAAAAGTATCAGTCTGTATAAATAGACCAGTGAATGTAAAGTTCAGTTTAGTTGTTTCAAAAGTATCCTTTTTACAGATAACTTAGGGAATTCGTTATGTCACTGCTGGGATGTTTGAGTTTAAAAAGTAGAGTGGGAAAAGTGAATGAAATCATCTTAAAGTGAAGTTTAAGGAGATTAAATTAGACCTTAATCAACAAATTTAACACATTCACAGCAACAACAAATGACTAAAATTTTTTGATCAGTCTATATATATAATGGCTGAATTCCTTTACAATGATTTCTGTTTTCTAGTGCCCCTGTTTACAGTGCGAGATGGACCTAGAGTTCAGCCCTACAAACTGGCTACAGCAGGTCTGGGGTTGTTATGTACTGGCCTGCTGATTGTCATCATAGCCCTATGTATTCACTGTAAGTATTGTTTCACTAAAACGGAAACAGAAATCGCCATGATGCCATTTATGAAAATGTGCCTCCTTTTGGTTGTGCATCATTAATTATGATTTCCAGTGGTGCTCATGTGTCAGTGGTTAACTGCAATGTCCCCCATCCCGATCGCTGCAGTTCAGAATTCATACCGGCCCCGCAGTGAACTGGACAGCATAGCCAGCAACCACAGTACTGTGACCAAAGCTTTGGAGCAGCTGCAAGGAGAGTACCAAGAAGCCCTGGATGCCAGGCACAGAGTAGAAGCGCAGTTTGGGCTGCAGCGCTCTGAGCAAGAGCAGCTCCAGAAGAAGATCGAGTCTCTGCTTGTGGAGAAGAAAGATCTGCAGTCCATCATCAGCATGCACGGTGATTCTGCTGAAACGTGTCAAAGTCCGCAGAGATCTTATGGACCATTGCGATGGTTCATTTATTCCCTCTACCACTCTTTACTGCCGCTGCAGAAAATAGTTGCGGAAAGTGCTTGCCAGGATGGACACTGTTCAAGTCAAAGTGTTACTATTTCTCTTACGATGATTCGAAACCGAAAAAGTCCTGGAGTGGAAGCCGCGAGGACTGCATCACCCAAGGAGCCGACCTGGCAGTGGTAGACAGTGAGGAGAAGCAGGTAAAACCAGTGTTGTGTGGCAAATGGACAAATGCCACTACTGATAGCAACAGTACACTTACTGCTACTAATATTAGCATATGTACGTACATAGCTGAAATATTCACTAATAGTACATTGCTGCCTTGGAAAGGGTTCAACATAGGGCTACAGAAATGATTCCTGGTCTTAGAGGAATGTCTTATGAGAAGAGGTTAGCTGAGCTGAATCTGTTCAGCCTCGAGCAAAGGAGACTAAGGGGGGACATGATCCACATATATAAGATTCTAACAGGTCTGAATGCTGTTTCAATATTAGTTTAAATACTAGAACTCGTGGCCATAGGTGGAAATTAACGGGAGAACACTTTAAAATGGATTTGAGAAAGCACTTCTTTGCACAGCGTGTAGTTAGAGTATGGAATAGTCTTCCTGTTAGTGCAGTGCAAGCTAAAACCCTGGATTCCTTTAATTCAAAGCTAGATAAGATGTTAACAATCTGAGCAATTGGTTGAATTCTCCACAAACAAGCTTGATGGGCCGAATGACCTCCTCTCATTTGTAAATTTCTTATGTTCTTAATATTTTACATGCGTATTTACAGTTTGTTGTGCTGACAATATATTTATATCCTAAGAAAAAAGTGGATACATAAAATCTGTTCATAAAAAAATAAGAATGAGAAATTAACTAGATACCTCAAAACGTATAACATACATATTCAGTATAACAGTGCTTTAATGGGTATTGTGTGTATTGGGACATGGGGAGGCAATTAGGGGGAACAAGTTTCAATAATTTAAATACAAATAATGTATTTAAATGGAAAGCTAGAGAATCTGTCAAACACTAACAAACTATCCTACATACAACAGTCACTCTCTTCTTGCCTCAAATCAATCCTGCTGCCCCAATGTAACCTTTACAGAGTAACTAAGCCAATCCAAGCCAGTTGAGGTTCAATAACTGAGGCATCTATGTGCGTGGGGATTGTAGGCAATCGTCATGGTAACCCATGAACACCCAAACCTTATGCATTCCCCTACATCACACCAGCTGACTGAATCCTAATTGGCTGAGCTCATTAAACCTGTTTTTATCATCAGGTGGGGAGACCTTCACACTCTTCTGTCTCAGTTCTTTTTCACCCAGATTTTGTTTTCTTTCATTGCACGATACAAAATTCAAAGATCAACTGCACAACGACCCACTGAAACGCCACATAACCTTATGTCTCAACATCCAGCTGTTTCTCATGAGATCCATCACTTCCATGGGCCTGGGAAGGATGTACAGCTGGCACCTCACAGGATTTTGGTTGGGACTAAGAGATGTCCATGTAGAAGGTACCTGGAAGTGGCTGAATGGAACGGAGCTGACTGTGGGGTAGGTGTTCACCCAACACATCCAAGCACTATGCACCACTGCAACTGACTTTGAGGCTGAAATTCATGTCATTCGCATTAAGGCCACATGAAGCATTGTTCCCCAATCCATTCCACGGGGACCCACAGACAGTCCATGTTTTTGCTCCGTACTGGGAGCTGGGAGGGAGCAAAAATGTGGACCGGCTGTGGGTCCCCGAGGACCAGATTGGGGAAACATTGACATAAAGTAAGCAATCCTTGGTAATCACCCCCAAAATCTGCTGAGCAACTCAAGTCAAACAGCTGACTAGCTAATCAGTTCATTCTAGTGAAATCCTTTCGTTTACATCTGATTTAAAGGTACTGGATGGATGGGGAACCCAATGATACATATTCAGAGGAAGACTGTGCCGCCATTTATCCAAAATCTGACCTCCTCAAGTCGTGGAATGATGCTCCTTGTAACTACCTCCTGAACTGGATATGCGAGTCAGAGATGCCGAATCCCTAGGCATCACTCCAGCGTCTGTCTATCACTCCAGCGTCTGTCTATGGCTGGACGGCAGTGGCGGACAAATGGGATTGGGCAAAGGATTAAGCTCCTAAATGAGGTGTGACTGTTGTATGCTGTTAATGGGTGAATCTCCATTAACCAAAAATAATGGATTTACCATGACACAGCATGAGGATACCATGAATTTAATTGTGCCACGTGCTGTTAATTTGGATGAGGTATTTCTAAGAAACATTGCTAAGAAAAATGAATGATTCGTATTACTCATTGTTTTGTTGTATGACGTAAAAAACAGTTTTCATGTGGAAAAGCAACATAAACTGAGAGCAGAGTATTGTCTGTATCAATGTGTATCTGTGGCAAAAAATATAAAGCATTACAGGAGAAACTTCACCATTCACTCACCTTGATTTTCTCTAAATGGTGTCACCCACAAAGGTCAAAGGTCATGGTATGACTCCCATAATTGGCATCGCTAGCACCAGAGACCTTCAAGACCTGTAAAAGGATCCCGAATCAATACTGCGCTTGAAGGCGGTCATGCCCGTGTGGGCTTCCAGACACACTCCTCCAGGTCAAAATGAGTGGTGACAAATCAGAGAAGACAACTTAAGTGAAAGCGGGGCAGCTATCAACTGACTGGGTCTGAGAGTGTCACTGTGACCAGACCCAACATGTCTGTTTGTAACCACTTAATCCGAAAATGGGTACCACTGAATCGCCTCGGTCTATTGACGGATCCATAAAGATAAAAAATACGTAAGAAAATTTAATGAATAAGCATGCAAAAAATGTATTTCATTATTTGACCAGGTGTACTTCTCATTTTCTGCAGTATAAAATGGTTACTGTACCCTATTGTGGACTGAAAACCACAAGGATGAAATGGACTCATTGTAATTACGATCAATTGTCCCAGCCAACACTACCGCGGTGTACCATTATGAAAGAGGGCTATAAAACCAGGACATCACCTACGCTAGCTATCCAAAGAAATCATTACTAAGTAATGTAACATCGCTTCATAGTGCACTATACATTTTTAACAATCTGAACAAGTAATTCAAGCTTCCATTTAAGTCATTTAAGATTTTACTAATGTATATTTTTAACTGAATGGCTATTCAATTTAATATAGCAACACAGTAACACCAAAGTTCTGTTTAAATACTCAGTTTAATATATAACTGCGAAATAACAAATCTGATGAGGACAATGAATGAAAATATTAAAAAATACATTGTTTTATACTAGAAAAAGACAGGATAGCAATTAACATTCACCTAGTATCATAAATATATCAATAAATAAATTTGAAATCTACATTTAACAAAGGATAATTGACATTTTTACATTCTTTTTACATTTGCCACAATGATTTCCAACTTAGATGCTGCCCTCTAAAATAAGACTTTTCTACTGCAAGTTGATACCTTAACAGGACCTGTAATTTTATCTGACATATTGATAAGTTCACCCAGCTAAAGGTCAGGCAGTTCAGCTTTCTGTGATGTCACATGACCACTTGATATGTTATTGCATCATCCGGCCAATCAGCGGATGCATTTTTATCCATGACAACAGCCATACATAAACTGGCTTTCTGGAGGTTCACTGGTCTTCTTTGGTTTGTAACAGGCTGTTCCTAGACTGAAATGTCTGTAGACCACAATGTATTGGGGATGTCCGATCAGCCCTCTGACTGGGCTGTTTTGAGAAGCCCATGTCTTCACAGTTCAGCAAAATGCTGCCTCAGGCTTTTCAAAATCTTCTGAGTGTCCATATGTTCTGGGAAGGCGTCCTCGGACTTCTGGGCTGCCAAGTAGCTGCTCTGAAGGTCTCCCATCTGCAAATGTAAGGACAGCGATCCACAACGGAATTAAAACACAAGAAGTTCCCCCCATCTCCTATCCATTTATCAGTAATTACGGCCCTTCCCTCCTAAATATAACACGTTCCAGGACATAATTTCACGGTCGTGCAAACCGGAGGCACTGAAGCAGACGCGCCTGTAAGAGAAGCGCTATCTCGCTCCGAGCACCACCTGAAATGAAAGGATTACGCATTCGAATGAGGTCGTGCTGTTACCTTGTCCGACAGAGTGGAGAGGTTAAAGTGGGGCTCGTACATATGAGGAGCCAGTGAAGAAGCGGTTTGCAGGAAAGCTTTAGCCTGCAAGGAAGTAAAGTGGAACAAAGGCAAAAAAATATGAAGGTACATGGAACAACGGGAATGAGCATTAAACATTTATATACATTTAGCAGCTACAAGCTCGTACGTCGAGCAACCCGACAGCTGTACTGATTAAAGAGTGCGGCGTAAAGTATAAGAACATTTTTCAGAAGCATTTTTTGAACAGTGGAAATTGCCATTTCAAAAACACCAGAAAAGAGTGTCTGTGTTTGTCACAATAAGAGGAATATAGACAACAAACACAAATACAGAAATTATGATATAAAGATCACAATTACAGAAAAGATAACATTAGAGGCTATACACACACACACACACACACACACCTCTGTAAAAATTAAGAGACCACTCTATATCTTTTTAATAATCTGCACTTTTAAATCCTGGTTTAATCTGGTTCTGCTGGCAGAAGGTTACACTGCAGGGGAAGCTGCTTCCAGGCTCGAAGTTTCTAAGGCAGCAGCAGCCAAGAACAAAGTGAAGCAGGAGACACTGGCAATGACCAAAAGCCAAACAGGTGGAGGACAGAGGCAACTTTCTTATGCCAGAGATGACCGTCAACTTATGTCAAAAATCAGAGGATGACCTCAAGTGGTCTTCAAAAAGAATGGGAGACATTATGTGGTGTGACGTGCACTGCTAGGGTCATTCATAACAGGCTGCTACTACATGACTGAAGACCCATAAAGCGAAGCATATACCTATAAATTGAGAAATGAGTGGAACTGCAAATTTTGCTGTGGTCGCATAATTTTTTCCAGAGTGGTGTGTGTATATTATATATCTGTGTGTGTGTATATATATATATATATATATATTACTCACTCGTTCTCTCTCTCCCTCCCACACACACACACACACACACACACACACACACACACACACACACACACACACACACACAATATATTTATATTTATTATAGCCTGTATAGAGCCTCCATATGAGACTTCCAAGCTGTGCACCTGCTCAGTGCGCCCCTTCCGAAACTCCAGGACCGCCAGGTTGTTGTAGGCCTCAGCGTGGTTGTTATTGCTGGCCAAAGCTAATTTGCAGCACTGGTACGCTAACGCCAAGTCTCCAATTCCCTGTGGATGAAACGGACGGCAGCCATGAGTGAACAGGGGGCTGCAGTGCCGACGTGCGCTTTTCCGCTGCCCAGACACCCTCAGGAGCTCCTGCTGCTGCTTATAATGAAATTCTGGCTCATTAATTGGTCTCAAATATCCAATAAAGCTCAGGCTGCCCTGATCACCAAATATCTGCCTCTCGAATCTTACTTTGAGTTTTTGAAGAAATTCATCTGCATTAAAACTACTTTTACTCCACCATTACTGTGACTACAGGCTATGGAGTTAAGAAGATGCAGGCTGTATCTAAACCGCTGTTGTACCATGGGAAAAGGTGCACAGTCCGGAACTAAGAATCCAATTTTAGACAGAAAATTTATAGAAAGCTAAGTTTGAATAAGGGTTTCCCTAAATAAATACATGGATGAGAAGATGAAAACCACTGTGGGAGAAGGCAAACTAATTTAAATAATTTAAATATTTGATTAAATATTTTTAAACCTTATTTTAAGCCATCCTCAAACTGAAGGCAGGAGCGATAGCAGACAATGCTGGTTTAGCTTGCCTCGGCAGAAAGTTTCAAACCGTGCGCCTGATAGGTCATTCAGTAATCTTTGACCTTTGACCCTGGAAACAACATGTCAGAGTGAAAATTCTCAGTGAAGAGCTGAGATCGTGGGATGGGGCCACCATAGTTAAAGAAACTAATTGGTTTAAATCAACTGTGGAGTTCTATAGCCTGAAGATAAAGAGAAAAAATCTCATATTCTGAGTAACAGACACAGGTTGAGCCTAATTAATTTATATCGTTGGTTAAAATCCAACCCACCAAGGCCACGTGGCTCAGGTTGTACCAGACGTCAGCCAGCTCGTCGTCATCGGCCACTAGAGAGAGCGCCCTCTCGAAGCAGGGCAGCGCCATGTCGTACTGCTGGGCGTAGAAGCAGCAGAGGCCCAGGTTGTTGTACAACTGGCAGTTATACACCCCCACCTGCAGGAGGCGCCTGGCACCGGGGGGGGGGGGGGGGTAAGGGACGGAGAACAAGAGTGAGATGGAGAACAACAGTGACAATGATAGAACAGGACAATGAACAAG